ATATTAAACAAGTGTTTCTCCACTAAACAGCATCCCCAACCCAAATCTTATTCAATTGAAAAACCAGGTACCGGTGGCTATATAGAATCTTTGTTATATAAGAGATATATTTATACTAATTTTTAAAAAATTTATTTTTATGTGTATGAGTGTTTTGCCTTTCATGTATATAAGTGCTCTGTTTATGTGCTGCCCTTGGAGGTCAGAAGAGGGTGTCAGATCCCCTGGAACTGGAGTTTCCTAGAACGTAGATAAGGCTGGCCTCAATCTCACAGGGATCCACCTGTCTCTGCCTCCTAAGTGCTGTTTGATCGTTTGTGTTTTTCACATTTTTTGAGACAGGGTTTCATGAAGTCCAGGCTGGTGTGAAACTGTATAGCAAAGTAGGTCCTCTGGCCTCTACTTCCCAAGCTGGGTTTATGAGGCGCTAGGGCGATCACTCAATGTCTTATGTGTGCTAGGCAAGCTACTCTGTATTTCCAGTCCTACTTCACATTTTATTTTTTTTTTTGGTCTTTTTGAGACAGGGTCTCCCTGTAGCCCCAGCTGTCCTGGAACTCATTATGTAGACCGGCTGGCCTTGAACTCACAGAGATCCGCCTGCCTCTGCCTCCCGAGTGCTGGGATTAAAGGTGTGCGCCACCATGCCCAGCTCCCTACTTGACATTTTTAAAATGACATTTCTTTATTTATTTTATTTATTTGTGATGTATATACATGGGCCTGTGCACATCATGGTGTGGGTATGGAGGTCAGAGGACAACTTGCAGGACTCAATTCTCTTCCTCCACTATGTGGGTTCTGGGGGTTGAAGTCAGGATGATAGGCTTGGTGGCAAGCACCTTTACTTGCTGAGCCAATTTGTCAGCCCCTTCCCCTTAAAAAAATAAATTATCTGAGCCGGGAGTGATGGCGCACTCCTTTAAACCCAGCACTTGGGAGGCAGAGGCAGGTGGATCTCTGTGTGTTCAAGGTCAGCCTGGTCTACATAGTGAGTTCCAGGACAGCTGGGGCTACAGGGAGACCCTGTCTCAAAAAACAAAGCAAAACAAAAAAATATGGGGGCTGGAGAGATGGCTCAGCAGTTAAGAGCACTGACTGCTCTTGGAGGTTCGATTCCCAGCACTCACACGGTGGCTGCAAACCGTCCTTAACTCCAGTTCCAGGGGAATCCAAAGCCTTCATCTAACCTCTGAGGCATTGCACGACATGGGTGCACTCACATACATGCAGGCAATATACTTGTACACATAAAAAAATATTTATATATATCATGGTTACCCAGGGCCCTGAGCATACCAGGGAAGTGCCCTACCACTGAGCTATATCAAGTACATTTAAGTATTTGTTTGGCCTTTCTTTACTTGTGTCTGTGCATTCCATGTGGCTGTTTATAAAGTCCTCCTATCTTCGACAAGACTATACTCCAGGACAGCAGGAGTTGTGTTCTTCACGCCTTCCCCTTGTGTCCTAGGAGCCCTCTCAACGTGCTGGCACATGAAATATAAACAGCTGTTACTGGATGCACTTCTGACCTTCTAATTTGCTGCAACGTTCCTCCAAAGTCAACACTTTTTGTCGATCCTCTTCCCATGAAAGTAGTTGTCTCTGATGTACCGCAACCATATCGTTGAGTTCTTTATCTCGATCTTTTAATTCTCCAATGAGCAGCTGCAGCTCCTTCCGCTGTTTCTCAATAGTGGAACTCTCAACTTCTGAGTCGATATTCTAATCATGGAAAGTGGTTTTACATCAAGATAAAACTCAATACCATACATCAGCCAAAACACACTTTCCAAGTTCAAGCCTACCACACATTCTGCCCCTGTTATTTCTACCATACCACACATAATTTGTAAAGAGTGGGGCCATTTCCAAAACTTCTCTGGCTAACCACACACAAACCCATTTCTTCTTCCCTCCACCTTTTGCTGTCAATCTTCCTGTTCTGGTCAACAACGCTAGTCCCTACTTTTCCCTCCCCCCTTTTCTGGCAGTGTTTGGGATCAAACCAAGGGTTTTGTACAGGTAAACATGCGCTCTGCCCTGAGCTACATCCCCAGTCTCAGGCCTAGAAATTTTAGAATAGCCAAGGAAAGACAAACATGAAATTATTATTTAAATACAATTCTTATCAAAGAATGGGAATTTTAGTCCTTAAGAAAATAATGAAAACCTAAATATTAACATCAGTCACACTGTTTATATATACTCAATCTATCAAGGACACTTTAATATTGTTGCTGGTTCAAACTAAATATATATAGTGAAAAACAAGGACTATGAGATGGTTCAGCAGGTCTTTTTTCTAAACTTTTTTTAAAAAATACTTTATTATTTTTATTTTATGTGTTTGAGTATATTGCCTGTATGTTTATGAGTGCAATGCTGCAGAGGTCAGAAGAGGGCTTCGGATTCCGCTGGAACTGGTGTTAAGGATGTAGCTACCATGTGGGTGCTGGGACTTGAACCCGGGTCCTCTGCAAGAACAGTCAGTGCTCTTAACTGCTGAGCCATCTCTCCAGCCCCCATGTTCAGCAGGTCTTAAAGGAACTTGCCACACAGACTAGTGACCTGAGTTAGATGCTCAGTACCCATTTAAAGGTGAGAGAATCTACCAAATCAAGTTGTCCTCCGAATTCCCAAACATATCTTGTGCTCATACATAATAAAAAATTAAAAATAAAATTTTGAAAGGAAAAATTTCAAATATACAGACAATAAAACAATGTATCCTGTATCTAGACCCAAGGTTTCATTGTGATTAAGATTCTGCTATGTTTTGATGTTCTTTTATTACTGATTAAAAAAATTTTTTTAGGCCAGATGTGGTGGTGCATGCCTTTAATCCCAGCACTTGGGAGGCAGAGGCAGGTGGATCTCTATGAGTTCGAGGCCAGCCTGGTCTACATAATGAGTTCCAGACCAGCTGGGTGCTAGAGGGAGACCCTGTCTCAAAAAGACAAAAACAAAACAAAACAAAACAAAACAAAACAAAAAAGACCAGAAAACCAAAAACCCCAGCATTTTCTCTTACATACTTTAGTACATTTCTATCAATATTTTCTTCTTTTTTAAAAATTTTAGTTACTTATTTTGAGACAGGATCTCACATATTCCAGGCTGGCATCCAACTCTGTGCAACTGAGGATAACTTTGAAGTTCTAATTCCGTCTCTATATCCCAAGAGCGGGGATTACCGCACGTACCACCATTCCTGTAACCCAGGGCCTCATGTATGCTATGCAAGCACTCTACTGACTGAGCTACATCTTCATCTTTAATTTTTTTTTTTTCTCTCGTCTTTTTGAGATGGTATCCCTGAAGCCCCAGCTGGCTTGGAACTGTGTAGACCAGCTTGGCCTTGAACTCACAGAGATCTGCCTCTGGAGTACTGGAATTAAAGGCATGTGCCACCATGCCATGGTAGTTCATTTTTAAAAATGGCCATCTCCATCTTTAAAAATGAACACTGGAAGATGGGTGTGGTAGCACACACCTTTAATCCCAGCACTCAGGAGGCAGAGGCAGAGGCAGGTGGATTCCTGGGAGTTTGAGGTCAGCCTGGTCTACACAGTGAGTTCCAGATAGACACTGTCAAAACCAAACACACACACACACACACACACACACACACACACACACACAGAGAGAGACAGACATTTTCCTGACCTCAAAATAAACAAAAAACAAAAAACTGGAGTTGGAGAAATAGCTCAGTGGTTAAGAACCTCTGAGTTCAGTTCCCAGCACTATGTTGCTTGGCTCACAACCACCTGTAACTCCAGATCTAAGGGATCTAACAACCTCTTCTGGCCTCTATGGGCACCTGCACACATGTGGCACAGACACACACATATATAAAAATAAAACTTAAAAAAAGAACATTATAAATACATGAATATGTCAATATGTGGCACCATGTGCGTATACATGTATGTATGTGCATATGTGGGCTAAAGGTCAATCACGGTGTTAAAGCTTGGGTATGGTGGCTCACACCTATGTTCCCAGCACTCAGTGGGCAGAAGCAAGAAGGCAAGATGAGTTCCAGACCAGCCTCATCTACATACTGGGATAAAAAACAAAAACAAAAGAGAATACATAAAAGTTCAGTAGACACCCCCATGTACATTACCACATTTTGAAAAAGATTTATAAATAATGATTTATAGTTACTAGTAACTAACAAACACACAAGAATTTGGATCCAAGGGATTCCAAGGTACAATACTTGAACTCCAGCCTTTCGTTTAGCCACCCATTTACTTCATAAATATTTACTGAGTGCCAGGGGCGGGGGATAAAGATAAAGCCTGGCAAGCAAGGGGGGATGTAACTCAGTGGAAGAAAACGAGCGGTAAGCCCAGGGCACCAAGTGTTCATGTCACCTGTACTGATAAATACATGCAAACCTTGGGCAAATTCAAATTCACTCTCAAGACTGCCAGGGTGGAGCTGCAGGTCTGTTAAGAGGCTCCATCACAGAATCCCGGGTACTCGCGCCTGGTTCCTGGTCCCTGGCCGGATTAGGCCAAGGAAACCCTCACGCCTTCCCCGCCGCCCTACCCTGGGCCGCAGCCGCCCTCACCTGGCGCCGGGCGAGAAAGGCGGCCGAAGGGTTCATGGGCGCGGCCTCCGCCCCCAAGAGTTGAGCGGCAGCTTAAGAACACCATAGGCACCTGGCCGCAGTGGCGGGGCAAGGCCGGCGCCCGGGACCCACAGCCACGCGCGCGTGCCCAAACCGCCCCACGCCGCTACGGTGGGCCGCGGCCGCAGCGGGTCTCGCGAGACTTGCGGCCGTGAACCTAGGAGCACGGCGCCTCCAAGGTCGCGCACCCTTTCCCTAAGCGGGAGGCCACGAGCCCAGGAAAGGCGAAGCAAACCAAGGGGTTCCCGGGTCGCCAACACCCAGGCTCTCGGGTCGGGAGTCGTCTAGGTGCTGTCGGCCCCAGCTGACTGGTCTAAACCAGCCATCGCAAGAACTGAAGACCTTGCTAGGTCCTGTGACTCGGCCTGTGCTCCCAGTACTTGCAGGTGGCACCTTGGGTCTCCAGAGCGTGCGTATGCGTGCGTGTGTGCACGTGGGGCCAGAGGACAGCGGAGTCATCCCAGGGATGCTTCTGGCTCTCCCAGCTCTAGGACTAGAAGTACAAGGCTGACCAGGCTTGTGGGATTTCTTGTGAGATGGTTTGTGTAGCCCCAGCGGGCCTGGAACTCGCAGAGATTGGTCTGCCTCTGCCTCCAAGTGCTAGCAACTCAACTAGTTCACCCAGTATTTTAATATGGAAGCTGTGGGGGCAAGTAAGATGGCCTGATGACCCAAGTTGGATCCCCAGGAGTCCACTGTGGAAGAACTGAAAGTTGCCCTCTGACCTCTGCATGGGCGCACACACCCACCCACAATAAATGAATAAAATAAAACTACATGGGTGCTGGGGATCAAATTCCTGTCCTCACCACTATGGGGCAAACACTTTACAGAGATATTTCTGCTCTTGAGACCACCGGCATCAAAAAAACTTTTGTGGGCCCAGCCGTTGAGCAGCCCACGGCTTTAATCCCAGCATTTAGGAGGCTGAAACAGGCGAATCTTTGCGTTCCAGGCCAGCCTGGTCTACAATAGTGAGTTCCAGGCCAGCCAGGTGGGGTTACAAGGAGACCCTGTCTCAAACAGACAAAAAAAAAAAACCATGTGAAGGAGAGAATCCACTCTAGCAAGTTGTCCTCTGACCTTCACAGGTTTCCCACACACACATAATACACACAAGTGAAAACAAAATTTGTGAAAATTTGAATTAACCTTTGAATTATGAAGCATATTAAATTTCAAGTCAAAGTAAAAAATTTATTATCCAGAAGGAAAACGTAAATCCTACATTTCCATAGTAACGTCCATTGCTGGCTACATATGGCTTGAAAGGTTATTTGTCAAGAAGAGTAGGGGGATAGAGAGAGGGCCTCAGCACTTACAGAGTACTTGCTGCTCTTCCAGAGATCAGTTCCCAGCACCCACTGGGTAGCTCACAAGTACCTGTAACTCCAGCGCCAGATCTACCACCACCTTCTTGTCTCCTCCAGCAAACTGCCCCCGGCCCCCAACAACTGTGAATATTAAGGAAGGTGCTTTACCTAAGTGACATATGTAGATAGAAACAAGCACATGGGGATTGTCCAGCACCAATATTGACATTTGCCAAGTAGCCTTGCTTTGCTAGGTAATCTTACTTGGCAAAATTCTGTTAGTGCAGAATTTCATTTTTACAACATAGTTCCACAAATAACAAAACACCTTTTAATGAAAAATTTGCATGGGCATAAACTCAATATTTTCATTAAAATGAGCAGTTTTGTAGGCTGGAGAGATGGCTCCATCTTTTTTTTTTTTTTTTTTTTTTGGTATTTTTGAGACAGGGTCTTTCTGCAGCCCCAGCTGGCCTGGAACTCACTTTGTAGACCAGGCTAGCCTCAAACTTACAGAGATCCACCTGCCTCTGCCTCCTGAATGATGGTTCCATTCTTAATGTTATGAGTAGAAGGCTGATCAGAGAGGCTGGGAGGTTCTGTTTTGACTACATACTATATAAGGTTAAGAGTGCTGTTCTTTCAGAGAACTCAAATACCAATCCCAGCATCCATATCAGGAGGCTCACAACCACCTTGAACCCCAGCTCCAAAGATCCCACACCTTCTTCTTGACTCCTTGGGCACAGCACTCACATGTGTATGTACATTTAGATATGCAACAATGAAAATATTTTAAAATTTCTAAACATAATTTTTTAAATTATCATTTTTCTCTAAGATATTTTAATTGCTATTTCCCAAGCTATATATTAAGCAGTTGATTAAGAATTTTACTCATGTAGTTATAGCTAGAACAAGAACTCTGGCTCAACCTTTCTGATCAACCTTCCACTTATGTTAGGAATGAATGTCTAGCTGGGCATGGTGGTGCACGCCTTTAATCCCAGCACTTGGGAGGCAGAGGCAGGTGGATCTTTGTGAATTCAAGGCCAGCCTGGTCTACATAGAGTTCCAGGTTAGCTGGGGCTACATGGAGACCCTGTCTCAAAAAGACAAAAAAAAAAAAAAAAAAAAAAAAAGAAAAAAAAAAGAATGTCTAAGGCTGGGTGGGTATATTTAATCTTAGAATTTAGGGGGGAGAAACGTATCTCTGTGAGTTCCAGCCTGGTCTACACAGCAAGTTCCAGGCCAGTCAGGGCTATATAGTGAGACCCTGTTTTAAAATAAAACAAAATAGGTGCTGACTCAGAGGCTAAGAATACTTGCTGTTCTTCCAGAGGACCTGGGTTTGATTCCTAGCACCCACATGGCAGCTAACAACCATCCATAACTCCAATTCTAGGGGATCTTTTGGCCTCTGTGGGCACTTCCATATATGCAGGCAAAACACTTATACATGTTAAGATAAAAATAATATTAAAAAAAACAAAAATAAGTTAAAAAAAGTCAGTACCAAATGACCAAAAATTTTTATTTAACTAAATTCAGATTCATGCATAAGCATGATGGTCTCTTATTTATCAGACTTTGGCAATTAAAAAAAAAAACAAAAACCAAGCAGCCTTTTATAGAACAGTGAGAATGCCAAGGATGAGAGTGGCCTACAGCGTCACTGTATGATAAATACATATATGTACATATATATATTTCTAAAAGGCCTCTCCTCCTTTGGCCATATCAACTCAGTTCAGATCATAAATACAGACAAGTTTTCAAAATCACTTCTTTACTTCTCCAAGATCTTCAATGCTGTCATCATCCACCTAAAAGACAAATAATTACAGTTTATGAACTGTGGTATCAAGTTAGGAAAAAGGAGGTGACTCTCTTTAAATATGTGCTTCTATGGGGCCTGTATCTCATGTACTTACCTCTGGCCATTTTTCCTGAATGACATCAATTATGTCATCTGTGAAGTCTCCCTGAATGATGATTTCATCCTCTCCTGTTACTGAGGCACCGCAGGAGAATTTTTGAGCAAAAAATCTTTGTGCTTCTTTAAGATCAATTTCTGTTTTTGTTTTTTTTGTTTTTCAAAAAAGAAAGGGCAAAACTATGATTGGAATTGTGCAACAAAGGTATTTTTCATTTTGAATTTAATCTCCATTTTTAAATTCATGAAACAGTGTTAATGGGTTTCATTTTTTTTCTTCTTTCACAACAGTAACTAAAAGTACCATCCACAAGCTCTAAATTCAACATACATTTTCAAGGTCAAATTCAGAACATAAAAATGGCACCAAACATACTATGCCAAGATCATATATCAAGACCAAAATGAACTGAAGAATACATTACTTTTAAACATTGCATACCTATGTTTAAGCTCTTTTTACAGTAGAAAAACTGACATCAAAGAAATAAACAGTGTGTGTGTGTCTGTGTGTTTAAGTTTGTTTTTGCTTTTTGAGACAAGATATTGCTATATAGTCTGGGCTGGTCTTCAACTTGCATTCTTCTTGCCTTGGCATATAGATCACCATGCCAGGTAATATCTTAATATTTAAAATGCAGTCCCATGATTTAGTTTTCAATCTGTATGACCTATATGCTGTTAAAACAAGGGATCTTGGTATACATTCTCATCAGTCTCTGCTATTTCGTCAAGTGCTCCAGTACCTGAGGGCCCTGAAGTAAGACTTCTTGCTGCTGCCCACATTTCCTCACCTTTACAGGTATTCTCAGAAGATGGAATACATTTCAAATCTCTGCCAACTTTAGAGAACCAAGGAGCAGCCCTGGCAAGTTTTAAAGGAAATTCTAACTTTCCTCATTCTATATAAAATATGCCCAAAAGAAATCCCTTAAGAGCTGGGCACAGTGGTACATGCCTACAACCCCAATTCCTTAGGAAACTAAGCAGTTTGAGGCCAGCCAGGGCAACATAGCAAGATAGCATCTCAAAAATAAGAAGCAAAAAAATAAATAAATAAATAAAAAGAAGCAAAATGCAAGCAAACATAGCCAAACAATATCGGGGCGGGGGGGGGGGAGGCTACTTTCCTCTAAAAAAAGATTTTACATTTTCTCCCAATTTTCATTAATTCTGAAACTACAGCAAGAAATGCAAAACTGTGGGCTGGGGATGTAGCTGAGTTGACAGAGTGCTTGCCTAGCATTCACAAAGCCCTAGATTCAATTTCCAGCACTGCACCACAGAACCCAGGCATGGTGGTCCACGCCTATAATTTCAGGACTCAGGAGGTGGAAGCAAGAGGATCAGAAGTTCAAGGTCATCCTTGGCTGCACAATATAGCCAGCTTGGGATACAAGAGGCCCTGTCTCAAAAACCAACCAACCAACCAACCCACCCAC